TTGAATTGCTACATCTCTTCTTGCTTCTTGGGATGGAGTATAAGACTATGGACATAGCTGATCTGGTGCCATAAACATGGAGAGAGTGCAGTTTCTCTGCCCCACATCAACAGCTATAGGGATGCAGGCTGTCACCTTTGCCCTTGGACTGGGATGAATACAAGAAAGGCTTTGTACATTCAGCATTTCAAATAATAGCAGTGAATAAGTCTGTCTTGCATCTTAGTGAGATCCTTTGCTGTTTTGCTTTGGAAAAAGTTCTTATAATATTTTATTTTAAAAAGTAGAATATGGAGACACGACTGGATTGATAGGAAGATCATCAAATCATAGACTTACAGAATATCCTAAGTTGGAAGTGACCCATAAGGATCGTCAAGTCCAACTCCTGGTTCCACACAGCACCACCCGAAATATTCTGTTCTCAGCCTCAAAATGAAGGAAGCTTGAGTTCAGAGCAGTAGCTGGCAGCTGCCACTGATAGAACTTTTCCATAGTGTCATGCAAGGTGGGAGGTTGGCACTAGGGGTCTGAATATGCCATAATTATGGATAAGGAGTAATAAAAATAATAAGAAATAAACAGTAAAACGTTTGTTAAAGAATTTAAAGGAGGACAGCCTACATTATGAAAACCTGAAACAACGTTTACTTTTTCTTTATATCTTAGTGGAAAAAGTATGGAAGGATAGAGAGATTTCACATTCACTTTTGGCAGTAGCAAGAAACTTCAGAGCTCTCCGCTTAGATCTCCCTCCCTCAGTCTGAAGGTATGCTTTGGCTTGCCTCAAGTTCCCTTCCATGGTTCATTTCAGGGGTTAGATTTTTAACCCTGGTTTTACCATGCTCTGTGTGTGGAAAAGCAGAGCAGATGTTTGAGTGCACATACCATACAGACAAAGCAGAAACAAGTATTTCCTAGAGCTCCTCATGTCCTCCAGTACAAATGGCCATCCAGGCTTCCTCCAGAGTTTGAGGAATTGTTTTCCCATCACTGCTGTTGTGAAGACGTCTGTCAATTGTTCTACCTTTAGAAATTGTCTTTAAAAGAAAGCAGAAGTGGATTAAGTGGATTTTGTGGGCAGGGGATCATTCAAAACTGATTTGCTTAGACTTTTGCTTCCAATTTGTAGTTGCTGACCCAGTCTGTAACCACACTTTATTATAGCCTGACATTTAAAATTAGATAAATACTCTTGGTTTTCAAATTTGGTCCACAAATGTGTCCTCTATTTGCTAACTGATCTTGGCTGGATTTGAGCTTTCCCATTTCTCAGAGTGGACTGGGAGCTGCACACAACCTTTTGGACAGTGTTCTGCAAGAGGCTTAGTTAGCTAGAGCGGTTTTCAGAAATGTTCGTGACAGATTCACATGGAGGCTAGATGGGGTTGAAGAATTTGTATATTTGGTTTTCTTTATTACAGGAATGAATATCTCTGCTATTTTTACTGGGGTTTCTTGTGGGTGGTTTTATTTCCCCCGTAATCTGCCAGCTCAAGCTTTTCATTTTATAAAATCATCTGGTTTTTGCACACAAGTAATTCAACAGTGGGAAGTTTTGTTAAATGTTTATGGAACATACCAGTCAGCACAGATAATCAGGTTTTTATATCATGATGTGGAACACTCTTCGCAATGCTGCATCTGGGAGAGGAACAGCTAGTGGCTTACAAGTTTGTAGGCTGAGGAGGGCACCTGATGCGAGACCATTCACCAGTAGGTGCTGAGCAGTGGGACTGCAGAACCTCTGCTGTACTCAGTTGTGCACATCTCTCACTCATATTTCATAAATAAAATTGGCCTTGTCCAATTAATCACTTTTGCTGGATATGCATTTGGTAGTTCCTCTTCCTGTTTGTCTCTGATTGCTGTAGGTTGCAGAGTGCCTGACTCGGCTGTGGTCAGAGTTCTATCCTCTCCTTCACTAACAAGTATTAGGGATACTTCACCAGGAGCTGCTTATTGACTTGAACACATACCAAGCTACAACGATTCTGGGAAATTTCTCCTCTTTTTAAGTGGAAGTAACGAGAATAACCTCTTAATTTACTGCAGAGCTCCTACCCTTCTTTCTTCCATCTTTTCCAGCTGAGTGATCCCTTTCTGGAGACTGGTTTATGCCGCCTGCAGGCTGTGGCCTGGTTTTCTGCTTCAAATTCCTTACCAGCAGCTTCATTTTTCCTTTTTTTGGTAGGTAAGTGCAAAGCCTTCTGTGGTTTACCCTTTTAAATATCAAAGGAATCATGTCGTGTCTTAAGAGATGGTCCCAAAGTCAGTCTACTCTGTCATCTGCCACTAATTCTGCTTTCTGTTAGCTCAGTGTATTCAGTGTTGACATGACAGCTCCCATTCAGACCTGTATACATAATACAAGAGGCTAGACTATTCTGAAAAGTCAGCCTTTGCATGTCTGCTCACTTCAAGCCTTAGGAGGATGTTTCTCAGGGGGTGTGTTGGCTGGTTTGATGTCTGTAATGCAAGCAGGCAAGGCAAGCAGGAGCTGTCATTGTACATGCTGGTGTGGAAGGGAGATAGGCACAGTGAGACCTCTTGGAGGAGCTGTCCTGAATCACGCTGTGTTCCCACCGAGGCTGGATGTAAGCTTTCAACTATGCGTAGAGGAGCAGACAGAAAGCGAGCCCTAAAAATGTAGTTGTGGGAAGGTGTCTTTTTGTTGACGTTGTTGCTGATTTTAATCAGAACTTTAAGAATCAACACAAAGCAAAGTGAGTCTGTGTGGAAGCAAGAAAAATGCTATGCAGCAATCTGTGCTTTACTGAGGAACCATATAGAGCATTTCTGTGGATCAAAACTCGCTAATACACCATCTGGAGATAGGGAAGGGAACCACAGGCACGCTCTTACTGAGCAGGTGACAAGACTGTAAGAAAGGACCACAGCCAGTGATTACCTGTAGGTCATGCTAAGGACGCTTGAGCTCCATGCCACTACTGGAAGCACTTTTGCATCCTCCTCCTCCCTGGGATGAGAGGTCATTCAGTTGCTGTGTAATCCTCTCGGGACCACTTGTGTGTGCACACTGCTGGGACTGCCCTTGCTCTTGCCCTCTTTCATCCAGTTGCTTGCCCGCATTACTGCATAAAGCCTTGATGTATGGCCGTACTCCTTATTGTTACTGCTTTTATTTCTGTTCAAACTAGGTCAGCCTTTCCAGAAAGGCATAGTTTCCCCATCTGGTAATCAGCTGTGGAGATGCAATCACAACTCCAGTTAACACTAACTCTTGATTTGTATTTAATAGGAGACTTTTGGCTAACATTTCCACCTCCTCTGATTCAAGACAGATTGTAGTTGTTGTTGTTGTTTGGGTTGTATAAATGACACCACCTGGTGAGGGGATCTCCTTAAGGAAAGGGCAGTCTTCAATTGTAGATGACTGTGACCTACATATTTAATAAATACATTAACATAATCATTAGACGTGCTGACAGCAAATTTGATTTTTCAAAAAATAAATTGGCCTTCTTTTCAGAAAATTCCAGCACTGGGGGGCATTTTTCATCCTGAAAGAGAAAGGTTTGAAATCTGTCTTCATGTTGAATTGAAAACGCAGGAAAACTAAACACACAGATTTGGAAATGGTGTTCAGCTGCTCCTGAACAGCAGCAACACCTCAGGCAAGCTGTCACTTTCTGTCCTACAACCTACTGTCATCCCCCAACCAGAGCTGCCTGCTGCAGGAGTATTTCCCACTGCATAGTGCAGAGGTGAAGCAGCAGGGAGGGAAGGTGACAAGCAGCAAGGGAGAGCCCGAAAGGATGGGAAGTGAGCTGAAATTCCTGGAGTCATTCATAAACTGGAGCAGGAGAGCCAGCTAGCGTTGAGTGTGGCAAAAACAAAATTTCCCAGCTTAGAATGATGGATATAAAAATGCCTTTCCTGTCTCAGAAACAGCTTTGGATTTTTTTATTTTTTTTTTTTCATTTGAGAAACAAAAGCAAGTGGATGCATATTATGTAGAACATCAGCCTGCTGATCCCAAACCAAATCAAGCAGTGGAAAGATAAGGCAGAACTGCTGCTGGTGCTGTAGCACACTTTGAGTAACCAGGAAGCACCAGGAAATTGCTGTGCATAACTACCAATACTTAAAGAGTGACAACACTCTGTTGGATTCCATATGCTGTGCAAAGTCAGTCTGTGTCTGTCCTAGAGTGCTTACAGATACACTGGCATTGAGTTTTTGCTTTACCAGGAGGAGATGCCTGTCCCTGCTGTGCAGCTGTAACACCTTCGCATCTCTGCTGCTCACAGATGCAGGGTTGGGGAGAGTTTGGAGTTCTCTCCTGCTCCTTGCTCTGCCTCTCCCATCAAGGACCCACTCCTGCAAGCCTGATCAGGGATGTGAGTGACAGGCTTGATGTAAAGGCTAAGTTTACCCCCAGTGCTTTTTGCAAGTCTGAATGTGTGGCTACTGTTTGAGAGCCTATGTGAGGGGGCAGCTGGCAGTGTTGTGAA